ATGGGGAATCGAACTGCGATATTCTGGATCCTAGGTGGGTGCTCCACTGCTGAGCCACACCAGGCCGGGCATCTTTCTATTTTTTTTAAGCTTCCAAGTTTTCAGCAATGAACATAGACGCAGGCTACAGGAGTAAGTGTGTTTATTGTAGCAGTATATGAAATAGCAAATAATAATAATAGTAGAGACAATCTACTGGAGAATGGGGAAATTAGCTGTGATATATTCATAATATAAAACACTACAAAACAGTTAAAGTGATTAAACCAAAGGACAGGTATCAGCATGGATAAAACAAAATGTGAAAAAAGTTGCGGAAGGTTATATACAGCTTGATACCATGTCTATAAAATTTTTAAATAAGACAGACAACATTATATGCTATTTAAGGATTCATACATACATAGTTTTAAAAAATCATGTGGAAATAAAACCTTCAGGCAAGCAATTATGTCTGAGGAGAGAGGAAAAGGAATGGGTGAAAGGAGGGATACACTGGGGCTTAGAACATATCTCTGATGTTTTATTTCTTGAAAAAAATTGTAAGAAAATAAGGCAAGCCTGGCCAGGCGTGGCTCAGCGGTTGAGCATGGACCTAGGATCCAGGAGATCAAGGTTTGATTCCCGCTCAGGGCACATGCCCAGGTTGGGGGGCTTGATCCCCAGTGGGGGCAGTGCAGGAGGCAGCCAATCAATGATTTTCCTATAATTGATGTTTTTATCTATCTCCCTCTCCCTTCCCCTCCCCAATATATATATATGTGTATATATATATATGTAAATTTTCATTCTGACAACAAGTATTTACTGTCTGCTCTTTGCCAAAGACTGTGCTAGGAGTCACAGAAATCTCACCCACACTTCTGTTGGTATTTCTAAGATCCTCTGTGATAATGCCAGCATAGAACAAGGGTTTTAAATGAGGGTTGTGGATTCAAATAACCTGGGTTTTTATCCCAACTGTACCACTTTCTAGCTATGTGATTTGTGAGAGTATTACTTAATTCACTGAGAAGCACTTATCTCCCATGGTAAATATTCAATAAGTGTTAGCTAGTATTCAGTTTAATTGATCCAGTGACCATAACCAGGGTTTCAGCCTGAACCTGGGGGGGGGTCTATGGATAAATGATCTCAAAGCTTTCTTCTTGTCCCAAAGTTTATGATTTTGTTATATTCAGTGGGACGTATGTGGAGGAGAGATCAGGAGGAATGACCCACAACATTTTCAGGAGAAAGGCATTTCACAAAGCTAATTTCACCAGGGTAGGTTCTAACTCCTCCAAATAGGACAAAATCACCCCTTGGGAGCTACAGACCAATTCATAATCTTCTTTAAGGATTAAAAAATGTTTTAAAATTTTTATTGATTTTAGAGGGAGAGAAACATCGATTTTTTGGTTCCACTTATTTATGCATTCATTGGTTGATTCTTATATGTGCCCTCACCAGGGAATGAACCCACAACCTTGATGTATGGGGACTACACTCTAACCAACTGAGCTACCCAGCCAGGCATAATCTTTTTTTAAAATCAAATAATATTAATCAAGTTAACAGTAAGCAGTAAAAGCGCAGTTACAGGAAAAGCCTCATGTTTTACATGTTTAAATTGTTCTTCATTGTCTTTATTTGTAGGGTGTTGAAGGGGGGACCCACCCCTGAATCTTCTTTCTGGTGGTGAAATAAGGTACATATTTTCTGGAGTGCCATTCATGTTGAATTTATGGTTTGTCCAAATGAACTTACTAGCAGTAGGCGGTTTTGTTGTTAGCAGATGATCGGTCATACAGTGAAGCCAAGGTACCATTCGGGGACACCATGCTTCCACCCTAGAATGTGTTTTGCCATCCATTTTAGTAGCATAGACAAACCCTCCAGACGGCCAAGAACTGCTTCTTGTCTTCATAGTATTTGTTTCCATATTTGTCTTCCCCCACTAATGTACCAACTCTCCCATCATTTGCCCTGAAGAGAATTCATCGATGGCCTCCGAGGCCACGGTGGCCACTGACCTGCTGTGGTCCGAGACTCAGGACCTGCAGGAGCTCCATCTCGTCCCACAGGCCCAGCTCGCGGTTTCACCCTGCAGAATGCACGGGGAGGCAGCGAACGCTCAGCTGCAGGAATTCTGGATGTGAGCAGCAGAAGAAAAAACCGAGCAACTCATGGAATGATAAACATGGGGCAAACACCATAAATATGAAATATGGACAGTCATGAGCCACATAACGACATTTTGGTCAACAATGGACCCCATACATGACAGTGGTTTCCTAAGATTATAATGGAGCTGAAAAATTCCTATTGCCTGGCGAGGTCATAGCCGGCAGAAAATTTGTAGCACAGTGCATTACTCATGAGTCTGTGGTGATGCTGGTGTAAACAAACCTATTGCACTGCCAGTAATATAAAAGTATAGTGCACACAGTTATGTACAGTACATAATACTTGATAATGATAGTAAACAACTGTCAGAGGTTTATGTATTTACTATACTATACTTTTTATTATTATTTAAGAGTGTACTCTTTCTATTTATAAAAAACAAGTATGCTGTAAACAGTATGTCATGTTGCTCTGGTAGCAGCAGCCTCATACATCTCATGCTTACCGCATGTGTTGATTATTTCCTCTTATGCTTGATTTAATCTCGTGCTTTTTGTAGAGTAACACGCTGTACAGGCTTATAACCTAGGAGCAATAGGCTATACCATTGCAGCCTAGGTGTGTAAACTGTACCAAATAGGTCTGTGATGTTGGAACAATGACAAAATCAGATAACGATGCATTTCTCAATACGTATTCCTACTGAGACAGGGCAGTAAGCCGGGACAAGTGGAATAGGGAAACTGAGACAGATAGCTGAACAAATTGACAGAGCACTTTACAGCAGATATAGGTCACCTCCCTAGAAAGAACATCTAGCCTCAGTTGTATTTCAGCTTCAGACTCAGAAAAGCAGTGAAACCAGATGGGCGACACCAGGACCAGCTTTGATGACTGACGACCCCTCCTGCCCTAACACTGATGAATCAGTGAAGATCACAACCCTAAAGTAGCACACCTAGGAAACTGATGAATATCCTGTTGACACCCTCTCCTAAGACTCCCACCTGCAAGAGAGAAATAAAAGCCTCAAGACAAAGGACCCAGCTGTGCTCTCTGGGGAGCAGGCCCCCCCTCATTCCCTTTCCCCTCTTCCTCCCCCACAGGCAGGCAGGCATCTCCTAAACCCTAAGGAGCCCCATGAAACTTCTAAACTGGGGAGCAATGAGCAGCAGCAACTCCTTGAAGGCTAGTCCCCTGAACCTGTTCCCAAGGTCCCCTTTTCTCTGACTTCCAGAGAGCTAGGGCAGCCCAGCCTAGACTCTCCTGTTGCTTCTTCTATGCTAAGCCCTTTCTTGTTTTACATCCCCAGCTTTTTATTTTATTTTGTATTTTTATTGATTTCAGAGAGTGGAAGGGAGAGGGGGAGAGAGATAGAAACATCAATGATGAGAGTCATTGATTGACTGCCTCCTGCATGCCCCCTACTGGTGATCCAGCCCGCAACCAGCGCATGTGCCCTGACCCAGAATCGAACTGGGATCTCCTGGTTCATAGGTCCATGCTCAACTGCTGAGCCACGCTGGCTGGGCCATCCCCATCTTTAATAAATGTTCCCTCGTCATCTGGACTCGTGTTGTGAAATTTTTCCTCCACGAAGTCAAGAACCCACACACTACTGGCTGGTCCTAGACAGAACTGCCAAGGGTGAGGTCCCCTTCCAGTAACACTATCATTAAGTATCTCAGGACTGTATATTCAGTCCTTCCTGAGGATGGGTGCAGCTTGGTTTTCACGGGAGGGAGAAGTAGTGTTCAAAAGCTCCAACTCTGGGGTCAGGCAGATCTGGGTTTGAAGCTCTACTTGGTTCCTTATCAGCTATGTGACCCTAGGCAAGTGGCTTTTAACGTCTTTATGCATCAATTTCATCTTCTGCAAAACACGTATAGTAACAGTACCTATCTAAGGAACTGTACTCAAAAGAGTGCTGACATAGTAAATGCTCAATAAAAACAAAGTATTGTTATCTAACAAATGGCACCCTATGGGTGAGTGACAAGTTTCCATTCTCAGAAGATGACACTGACTTCCTTTTCTGACTTGAGGCTCCTTATGGGTGGGGCCTGGTATCTGCCTTCAGAAGTTAAGCATAATTCCCGCCTTGTCCCCTTGGGAACTTCCTTAGAAAGGAGGTAAAAAGGCTCGAACTGCTTCTCTACCTCAGAAATGGGAACGGCAGTGCCTCCACCAGTCTCAAATGTATCTTGTGTCTCGCATCAGCCTGAGGGCTCCCAGAGTGTGTTGGCTGGCTCTCCTTCAGGCCATTCCGTGTAGAACTGATCCCTTTTTATTGTCTTCGTTCAGGCCCGGGAGAGTGAGGAATGTGCAGCCTCCCAGAGCAGAAAGGAAGATGCTGAGCCTTGCTGTGGGGAACCCTGAGGATCTAGCCTGAGGGTCCTGCAATTCTGGGACTCTGCGAAAGTCATAAGGAGGCTTTTAAAAGACTGTGTCGAGCTCAGCGGAGCAAAGGGTGAGTGCCAGGTTTCTCTCAGAAGCGACGTGAGGGAGCAGTTTACGTGGATGTAGGGTGGGAGGTGCGTCTGGGTAACTAATGGCAACTGGGCGGGGTGGGCCCACTCTGTGGGAGCGCTTAGACAGAGGAAAAACTACGACTCCCAAGATGCCCCAGGGCTGAGTCCGGCTTTCCCGCCCGCCCACTGGCTGCCGGTCCGGCGAGCGGCAAAGCGGATTGGTCGCGGCAGTGCGGGGGCTCCCACACTAGCAGGTTAGTGGGCGCCGCCGGCAGCAGACGTTGACCGGGCTCGAGTGGAGGGGAACCCGGCTCGCCATTCTGGAAACGGCCAGGCGCTCTCTTCGTAGCGTAGCCGCCGGCAGTGAGGCGCGGGGTGGGGGCGGAGACTACGTGGCGCAGGCGCGTTGCTGGGCTTCTCCTGGGTCCCCAGACAGCTGGAGGAGATAAACAGAGCAGGAGGAGGGAGGGGAGTGCGTGTGTGAGAGCGCGCGAGGGAGTGTGAGTGTGTGTGAGCGCGGGTGTGAGACGGTGCGCAGGGGCGGGCGGAGGCGCTGTCCGGCCCCGGCCAGGCGCCGGGCGGAGAGCATGGGAAGGGGCTAGAGCTGCCTGGGCCCCCGAGCCCTCTCCCCGGGATCCGCGCTCCCCCTCCCGGGAGAGGGGCCGGGCCCCCCGACGGACATGGGCTCCTGAAGTTGCACCGCCGCCGGTCCTGGGAAGAGGCCTGACAGGTACGGGTAGCTGCCGCCCCCTTCCCTGGACTGGCTCCCGCAGCCCCGGCACTCGGGCCGCTCGCTCTGGGCCGGCCCCAACCTAGCCGGCCCGGGAGCCTGAGCTCGCCTACCTCGGGGCTCCGGGGTGTCCCGAGACGGGTTCAGGCCTCGCTGGGGCGAAGGGCAGAGTGGGCCGGGGGCGGGCTGGACACGGAGGGCTGGCTGGGACGTCGGGGGAAGGCTCTGGGAGTCCGGAGAGGCTCTGCCGTGGGAGAGGTGAAAGTCGTCCCATCACGGGACTTTTTTTGCGGAGTTTTTGTTTGACACCTGATCTGGCGCGGCTCTCAGGAAGAAATGGGCAGGTGGAAGTGCCTAGAGGGCAACGTTTACCTTGCCCTCTTAGTTTCTTTCTTTCTCTCTCTCTCTCTTCTTTCCTTTCCTTTCCTTTCCTTTCCTTTCCTTTCCTTTCCTTTCCTTTCCTTTCCTTTCCTTTCTCCCTCCCTTCCTCCCTCCCTTCCTCCCTCCCCTCCCTTCCCTTCTTCTCTCCCTTTCTCCCTTTCTCCCTTTCTTTCTTTCTTTCTTTCTCCCTTTCTCTCTTTCTTTCTTTTCTTTCTTCTTTCCCTTTTTCTTTCTTTCT